TTAATCGAAAGACACAAATTTAGCGTTTTTATGACGTTGTAAATTTGATTCACGGTGGATTATGTGCAAAACGAATGCTTTTCCTTCCATCATTGAGCAGTGGAAAACCAACTTTAAATCCCTCTTACCAGAGCGATAAGAGCCTAAAAAGCTACTAGAGCATGACTCCTGAGAGATGAACAAGACAAAAGATGTGATGCCTTTACGTTTATGGAAGGTGGGAACACTACCAGGCTATTTTCACTCCAACGCGTCATATTAGTTGTGCCAGCTTCTGCCTTTCAGCTGCTGCTGTTCTCTACCTCTTGGGCACATTTTGTTTCTTGTCACACTAGCTGATCCCTCGATTAAAAACATTGAATGCTGAGAGGGTGTTATCCTTGTTCTGAGTTTTTGATCCTCAGTGTCTGGGGGTGCCTGCTGGGCCCAGTCGTCCCTTGCTGAAACCGTTGATCCCTGGATCTTTGTGGAAATGATTGCACAACTGGAATGGGTTCTTAAACATGCCAAGTGTGTTTACCTTGCCTAAAACCTCGTGGAGAAAAACAATTTCAGATCCAGATATCAAATGGCTGCAAGGCACTGTCCAACCAGCGTTCCCTACTGACTACTAGAAGCACAGCGGTCTCAAACGAATTTAGCACAGTTTATAAATGTTGCCCCAGTTCACAATAAATGTCAAACATGTCAAGTTTAAATCAAGCTCGATAAACTTCAAGTTAGCCATGATAGTCAAGAAGTTCAATGCAATACAAACAATAGCTTTGCTAGGAATAAATAGAAACCAAATCAATCAAAATGATATGTAGCCAGCCGGACAGACAGACAGGATGGACACAGCGTGTAATGGCAATTTGTATAACGTCTTCTTTTCAAGCAAAGCCACCACTGAAATGGCAGCATTCTCACATCATGAGCAAGCAAGTGGAGTCAGTGGAGAGGAACCACTCAATTTTAACAAGAAGAAACCTCCAGCGAGGCAGGTTCCATATGGGAAACTTTCTGCCACAACTCGTTGGTTTGTCTTTTCCTAAAAACAAACAAAAAACAAACGAGCTAATAACAAGCGTCAGGAGATTGTGTCAATAAAGCTGTAGACAAATCTATTTGTTTCCCCATTCACAATGTCCATCCCAATCGCTCCAATTACACTGACTGAAGAGAAAAGTTTATTTGAGGCATCCTTGCAACAAAATGCAAAGCCCAGCGAGTTTCTCTGTTATTCTCCAGTTTGTTTCTCTGCAGGAAAGCCTTTGGCACTCACCAGTCCAATGGGGAAAGTCACTTTTTGCAAGCATTGCCAAGATTTCGACTTGAAGGCCAAACCATGGAGGCAGACAGATGCATCTGTCCACAGTCTCTCTGTTCTTCTCTTGGAAATCTTTCTCTCTTCCCTTCTCTCTCACCCTCTCTCTCTCTTTAGCTCTCTCTCTCTGTCTGTCTCTCTCTCTTACTCTCTCTCTCTCATATACACACGTACGCATGCAAACACAAACACGCGCTGGGGGTTGCTTCCTCATCGTTCACACAGAGAAATGCCCTGTAAGGACATCCTTATCCAGCAAACCAGACTCAGCTGGATGCTCTGCAATAACAACTCCAGCCGTCCACCATCCAATCAACTGGGCTTACTGCTGTGTGGGTGTGTGTGTGTGTGTGGGTGTGCATGTGTGGGTGTGTGTGCATGATGTCTTTTTCTAAGATCTGTAACCACAAGGCACATGGAGTATTTATTTCCCCAACAAAAACAGAGACATGAACAAGTCATACAAAATGAATATTGAAAAGGAAAATACAATTTATTATAGCTTATTTATGGTTCGTCGGGATGGGGGTTCTGATAGGAGAATCCCAGCGTCTCATTCAAAAAGAAATTCTTCTGTTGAAATTTTCAATGCATATGCTGAGAGCTATAAATAGAACGAAAACTAATGTGAAAATTTTCTGCGTAGTGACGATTGACTGTGGCGGATTATGTCGCTGAAAAAATTGAAAACGTTTCATTGGATGTTTGACTTTACTGTCTGGTAAAATGGGTCAGTTTTTCAGTCCATTAAAAGTTTTAATTATTGTGAAATCAATCCGAAACTTAAACTACTTTTTCATGCGCTCACTTTTAACTTAGTAATGTTGTAATTCACTTGAATTAATCATGTTCTCATTTGCGAAACATTTAAAGTGCTGTATAAAGTTATAGAGACGAAATTTTAAGAATGTGAAATAGATTCTGAAATCTATATGCAATTGTTAATTATGTTACCAGCCAATATATAGTTTCTTGGGTTTTTTTTTTTTTTTTTCAACATTGAACATCAGTCCTGCTTATTATAGGCAAAAAGACCTAACTAGACTGGATAATATGTACATTTAAAGAGTAAATTTTACAGATATGTTATTTTTAACTATTATTTGTCTGAATCATTGACACCTTAAAATCAACATGAATGACTCCAGTGTATTCATATTTATCTCCTTCAAATTAAAATTTGAACTCACCATGCATTTGCTACAAATAGGGTGTAGATCGCATGTAATAAAATGCTATTACTAGTACTTGACTGCATGCAGACAAAAATGAGCATTACTCTGGCTTATCTACTACAAAAATGTACTTTTAGAAGTTTTCATGTTTTGTCCCATTTTTCAATAAGGCTGGGGAATCGTCTTTGCTGATCAAATCAGAAGGAAACAATAAACTTAAAAATGTAAGACAATGTTTGCTTTCATGTCGATGTAACTAATTATTATATCTTGTGTTACTGACGCAGTTAGTCAGCATGCTGCACACCACAGCCTGGTGTGCAGCTGTGGTGTGCAGCAGTGATTAGGGCTGCAGAAAACAATGTGGATGACTGGGCAGGCCCATGATCTGTGGGCCAGTTGTTTTGTAATCATATTCTTAAAAGCAATAAAAGTTCTGAAAGTCTTTTCAATGAGAAATCAAAGAGTGTTCCTGCAGACACGAATGTCTCCACATCATACAGGTGGTTCTGGCGTGTTGTCTTTTCACCTTCAACAATGTTCAATTATTCTCCCTGTTCTTCCACTCTCTTTCTGGTGCTAAATAATCCATCCTCACATTGTACTCTGGAAAACGTTTGCGGCTGCATGACAGTGTGGACAATTCAGCTCTGGGCCAAATATAGGTGAGCAGTTAACCAAAACCTGTAAATGGATCTGATTCAGGTTTCTGGAACACAGCCTGTTCCAGGGTGAGTTAGCGTTATGTGGTGGTGATGCTAAGTGTGTGTTTCTTTTAAGCTTTCATCTCATTGGCTGAAACCAATAACAAAAGTATGCGAATAGCCCATGAATCCCAGTATCTTGATGAGGTATGAGTTTCCCCCAACACTCAAAACAGTTCAAATTTCCTCTGTAAACAAGCTGAATTCAAATGCAAAAAGTTTACCATTTTAAAGTATTCGAAAGTGCTATTTAAAGCATGGCATGAATCCTTTACAACTTCAACTGGTGTATTTTACAAAAAACAATAAACAAGCAAAAAAAATCACTATTTTCTTAGAAATTTGTCTTTTTCTTTTTTCCTCCATTTCTACTTTGGTGACCTATTTCCAGTTTTCCTATGACACATCACATGTTTATTATCCTTAAAATTACAGTAAATGTTGAGACAAATTTTCTCTAAAAGTAAAGAAAAACAAAATAAGCATAATATAAACATCTGATTTCTCTTTGCAAGTGTTCCACTGATTCTCCACAGCCTGTAATGTATTTGTGACAGCCTGTCATTAGGCTTACAGACAACAGATTCAATTTTATCACATTCCTCACTTTTATGATACATGAGTGTTCCTGTAGTAGTTTGAAGTCACAACTGGAACTTAAGAGTGCGGCAGGCGAATTAAGTCTGCCTAACTGCAGTTGCTAGAAGCAGGGATTTGTGGGCATTCGTCAGCACTAAGTGGAAGTGACAGTATGGAGAGAGGTCCTAATTACTGTCTCACTTGACTAATTGTCGTCTCTGAAGAATGTATTCCCACTGAGGTCCCTGGGATTTTTTGAGAGCTCTGCTGAAGATATATAGACCTTCACCACGCAGTGTTCAAAGGCGTTTCCACAAATGGTAAATTGTAAATACACCAAACTCAGAACTGCTAGAGTGAGGCACAAACACTGCACTGCATTTGCTCGGAGACATACAGGGATAGCACAGCAAGAAAAAGGAACAGGGTTATACATTTTGTATGTGTGAAGAAAGTGCATGCATTTCTGTTGGGTCTTGCCAATGTGTTAAAACATCCTTTGCCACAGTCATCTTGACAAGATGTAATGAATCCATCTGTGGCCTTCACAAGCCAAGGATGTTAAAATAACCTGTAGCATTCAAAATAATGCAGCAGACATGAGCCTTTAGTGCAGGCGCAAACACAACTGAATGAATCTCTTCTTTTTCAGGGTCTTACCATTCAAAGTGCATCAGCTTTTCGTTTCCATGGTTTCCTTCTCTGTGCCAGTGCTATCTATCCACCAGTCTGCCTGTGTAAGAGAGCGAGGGAGGGAGTGTAGTGCAGACAGAAGGAGAGAGAACGCTTTTTGCAGTGGTTATCTCTCCTTTGCATAAAAGTCCCCTTTGCATTAACTGCTCTGTGAATGGAGTTGGAATAAACGCACCAGCCAGTTCACACAGATGTCTCTGTGGGTTACAAGTGAGTGTATGAACTCCTCTAATTTGTGCTCTCCTTCAAAAATGACAGTGTGATGGTGGATGCAAATAAAAGATCATCCGTCAAACGGCACAGGGGTATTTTCCTATTAGCAACAACAAACTAGAGGAGCGGGGTTTCAGTTCAGTATTACAGTGTGGCAGTCTGCCACTCCCATATGTCCCTGTTGTGTAGCTAGGTCACACAGAGTTGTTACATATTTATTGGTTGTGGTAGAAAGAAAAAGTTTGGAGTTTATGACTAGTAGCAAAGATCTTCTTGTCGTGTCCGATGGCATCTTTCTGACCCACATCCAAATCACACTCTGCAGCAAGGTGGGAGCACAAGGATTTACTTACAATATGTAAAACTAAGTTAATGACTGAAGGCATTCTTTTCTAGGACAGGTTGAGGATTTGTCTGGTGGAAGAGAAGACAGGTTAGCAGCAGGTTTAGAGATGCATTTGACAGTGGATTGTTTCTTTGAGGGGAAACATGCTTACAGTTCCTTACAATTGCAGGTAGAAAGAGTGGTGAGAGGGATCTGGGTGAAGGAGATTGATGGACTTGAGATGAGTCTTTGAGGTTCAAAAACTGACCAGAGGGGAGCAAGCAGGCAGGTGGGACTAGAGCTGCAGAAAACAATGCAGATCAGGTTTGTTCCAAACAGGTTCTTGCTTGAGCGCATGCAGGTGGCTGAACATTTTCTGAGATGAGAGAGCAAAGGTATGTATAGCTGGAGATGGATCTTAACTTGATCTTCACAAACTTGCTAAGTTACTCAAAAGAACACTAGGAAAGGCACAAATCAATTCTGACAGGTTAGAAACAACAGTGACAGATAACAGTGGTTGTGTTGCAGATCCTTATATCATCAGTGGCCGCACTACAATCAGGGCTGCTCACTAGCAGAGGTCTAACTATATGAAAGATTGCCACACACACCCAAATCCAAAGGCTGCCACCTGGTGGCCCAGACAAACATGACAAACAAGAAGCCTCAAAGTCACGGATCAACTGGGGATCCAAAATGAGGGAGTGAGAAACCCAGAACAGCTCCTTAGGACCGTAACCCTCCTAGTCGAATCGGTACCGGATGCCCCTCCCACAGCACTGGACTTCCATTATCCATCTGATTGAGAAAGCAGAGAACCCACCAATATCTCGAGCAGGTGGAGGGGGGTCTGAAAGGAGGGCACAAAGGACTTCATACCACAGGTTTTATCAAAGAAATATGAAATACTGGGTGGATCCATAGACTCTCAGGTGGCTTGAGACGAACAGAGATGCGGTTCAGCACAGAGGTTATGTCAAAGGGACCAATGAATCTGGGGGAAAGTTTCTCATGAAAATATTTGAGAGTCATGTCTCTGGTGGAAAGTCATGTCTTAGGTATTGAAGTGCTGCAAGTCTCTTGAATTGACAGGAACTCTGGCTGCAAGAGCAGAAGTAAACAGACCCAAGAGATGAACGGTGGTCCTCACTCTGATAAAATCTCTTGGGGCATCCTGTGAAGACAGAAAACAACGTTTTACAAGGAGCTGAGCTGTTTCAAGAGCTTATGAGAGATTAATATAATGAAGTGACAAGCCTTAGATGAGCAATCTATTATAGTTAAACAGAGATGGTAGATCATTGACATATGTGACCATGGATATGATAGACAAGTACATAGCTCTTTACTCAAGGGCCGGTGTCTTGAAACTCTTAGATGTGTCCAAGGTCCAACACACTGGAATCAGATTTTAAATTGGTACCTACCTAAAACAAATAATGGCCCCATATAAGCAGAGACACGTGTAATGTTGCAGGACACTGGCCCTCGAGACCTGGATTTGAGGTATTAGCTGTGTGTGCCCAATGAATGAGTCTGGACCTTAGAGCAGAGGGAACATAGGCCCGGCCCCGTGTTCTGACTCCGAAAGTTGAGCCTCCAAAACCTAGTTTCTATGGATTCCATGAAAGGGCCACCATGATAAATGAAGTGGGATGACAGAGGCGACTGTTGGTTCATTGTCTGGAGAAAATTGTCAAGAAAGAGCATTGGGCTTAGTGCTCTTGGAACCCAGCCTATAAGACATTATAAAATTGAAACAGGACAAGAAAAGTGACCATGGTGACTGGCTCGGGTTGAGACAATTAGCCTCTTGCAGGTAGCCCAGATTCTTGTGGTCTGTCCAAACAATGACAGGATATTTGGCTCACTTTAGCCAATGTCGCCACTACCCTAAACCTAGTTCGATGGCTGGAAGTTCCCCATCTCCTATGTGATAACTTCTTTCTGTTTTTGTGATCCAAATCTATGTTCATTCTTAAATATTTGTTAGATCAAAACCCATATATGATTTGAAGCTCCACTCATACCTGACGGCATTTCAGAACCCAGCACATTATGTTGGGAAAATAAGCTTTTTCTTGTGATTACGAAATGATTAAATTGCATTACACACAGATGAATCAATCAGCTAATGCAGGGGCGTGATTTAATTCAATTTAAATAAATTCTGTGTATTTACATAACTCATGTTTACAATGGATATCATTAAATACAATCAAATATCAAAGGCATTTCAATGACAGAAATTCCTTTTTTAAGCAGAATTATAACTAAATCAACCTAATCAAGATTCACATTCAACTACGTACATACTAAGTAAATCCAAGTTATAACTCAGTGCAATGAAATGTATTATTACTACATTCCGTTACTAATGCTAGCGCTTTTTCTATACTTAACAGCAGTCAGCTGCAGAGTTGTTCACTTTACAACAACTCTCCACATTAAGAAGTCGTGTGGTGACACTGGAAAGGAACTACTCCTGCTTAACAGGAAAAGACCTCCGGCAGAAGTCAGCTTTGTGTGAGTACCCATCTACTGCAAAGAACTCAAGCTATGAGAGGACAAAACAGAAAGACTAAAAACACAGTCGCGTAGGTCCAATAGTACTTTCTATGGCAAAGAAAAAGACAGAGTTAATGGGAGGATTAGCTCTTTAAATGTTTTCTTGGAGAGTCACACAGCTAAACAGATGAGCTGGACGGTGGTATAAACTATGGGATGAGAAAAAAGTATTTGTAGTCAGTGGCAGAAGTAGGCACTTGAAGGCATTTATCCAGGAGAGAGACACAGTTATTTACAGAAAGACACTACAAAGTGTATTCTCGGTAGAAAATAAAGATATTGACAGCAATATCTCAGCCAACAGGCCCATCTATGTCTAAAGACCAAAACACTGGACTGGGTGCACCTTCTGTGGAGAGGGAGAAATAAGACAGAACATAAAGTTAGTCACAATATTTGAAGATGATGCATAATTGGAAATTATTAGGATAAAAAGCAGAGCGAGACAAAGTAGTTATTATGTTCAATAGCGTTTCTATAACATCATAGCTAGAGAGAACGATCAAATTTATCCAATCCATTTTAACAAAAGGTTGCTCAAAAAGTAAAAGGTCTTTCATCTTCAAGTAGACGTCACAGTGATCTATAACAGCAAGTGAAGACAGAAGACTGCTGCTAAATGACTCGCACCCAGAAAACACTGTATATTTAAACCTCTTGTGTTGAGATGACATGAATTAGCTTTTTATCACTACAAAACTTCCTTTCAGCAACATAAGGACATAAACATGTTGTTATTTTGAAATATAGCCAGGAATGTAGATTTTTAAGTATTGCTTTTCTTGGCTTCTCTAGACGTGTTTTCTCTGAGCTCAATAAGGATTCCTTTCATGCTGTCTAAGCTCTGCTGACTTATATGAAAACCCAGAATTTCTCCATAATTATGCTAATGGTCCAGATGGTAGCATGATGAGTGCCATTCTCTTTGATATTCACACACTTCAGAGTGCTGGTGTGCAGACCCACGCACCCCGACACAGGTTCAAAGTCAATGTTCACACCACCTACTTGATTCCATGTAATTACTTCGTTTTTCCTTTAGCTCATACAAGCGCCCTCTCCACTGTTAAATGCATTTGCTGGTATTTGTTAGGGGGATTTGACAGATCATGTGAAGTACAGAGCTCTAGCACTTCAGCAAAAAAAAAAAAAAAAAAAAGCAGTGATGACGAGTTTATTCAAACGGTTGCATTATAATTGGAATGCTGCAGGGAAATAAATATAAACAAGCGGCCAGAATAACCACTGCATGAGCCTACTTCGGTAACATGTCAGTGGATATTTTAAATCAGTGGAGATTAACTCTCCAAACATCATTTAAATACACTGTGGGCCACCTATAAATACTGATAGGCTTTATTTAGAGTGTTTCTTCACTCACAGGGAAGTCATTCACACTTAAACCTCACAATGACTGTGTTCATCCACACTTGGACCGTGGTGGCACCGATCAAAGAGCTTCTTTCACTTCCCCACAGGGATTAAATAGCCATCCATCCTCTCAGGGCGGAGGTGTGCTGCTGTACCTTTGCTTCCAGCTGATGCACTGGCCTATGAAGAGCTGGTCACGGGGGCGGGCACTGAGAAGGTGCATCCAGATAGTCCACACAAGAGCGACAGATATGCATCTCCTCGCTGCAAAGACATGTAACGCAGCTCAGCCTTTTTTTTTTTTTTTTTAAAAAGGGTTAATCAGATAAAAGGTATTATAGACTCTAAAGATAGTCGTAAAAATGGCCAGCATCTGTAATCTTTTCCCATGCTAGAAATACCTGTTCATATAGGGAGAATTCCTCATTCTCAAAAACTGAACTTTGTTGCCTCAGAGGCTTTTAAGTTTAAGTAAAGATATTTGCATATGTTAAAAAAAATTCAACCCTTCCGGCATCTTCTGTCGACATGACAGATTTGTGGTTCTGCCAATTTTAACTGGTTCCATTCCACTCCTCCCACACTGCTGGGTAGAAGGATTGCTTATTGAAATCCCATAAAGGGGATTTTGACAGGGAATTTGTGAATGGCAACAAACATGAAGTAGGCCTACAAAGCTGAGTGGCTGACATTTATAGTCTGGAGTGCTGTTTTTCAGCAAAACATCTGCTGTATAGGCTACTTTATCTTTCCCAGATGTGAAGACAACCTAAGTCATTATAGGTTATTGTTTGCCTGCTTCGGCATCTAGAATTACGATGTCTCTTTCAATGGAGCTCAATGATGAATAAACAATCAGGAACACACCTATTGTGCCTTGCAAACATATACCCTTTAAGCTTCTTTTTTTTTTTTTTTACATTTTGTCATTTAAGGAACAATAAACCTCTGTGAATTTTAAGAAGATGCTATATGTGGGGCTGAATGCAGTTGGATTCATCCCCTAAAATCTGATTCAACACATTAAGTTACTGTGCACTATGATATTAGAGTGCAGTTCGGCTGTGCGTAATTTAGTCTCAGTGTAAATGCAGCTGTTTTTTGAAGGCCTCAAGGTCTGTAGCGTCATGAAGATGAAGTACAGATTGCGCAGGTCAGGGATAGTTGTAGAGAGGTGTAAAGCTTGGCTAGACAACATCCGAACAATATCCCAAACTTTGATCATCGGGGGGAGTTCAGGTCAATCCGATATTTAAAAGTCAAGACAGCGTGGCACAGTTGCAAATTTGTGACTGTTCATCTGAACTGACATGTAGGGCAAGGACAGAGTTAATCAAGGCCATTGATTAGAGAAGCAGCCCAGAGCCCCACTTTAACTATGAATGAGCAGTACAGATCCGCAGCTCAGATTGGAGCTTGTCGACACAAATCTGGTCTTTACAGAAAGGTTGAACAAGATACAACAAGTCGATTTGAAATTAGCCACAAAGAAGAAATTAAACAAAAAATACACTTTTTGGTCTACATAGAAAAAGTCCCTGGTTAGAAAACTAGCTGTGTCACCCTGAACACAACATCTTCAGCAAGAATGACGGGGTACACATAAAACCATCCAGCCAATCTCACTGACCTCGAGTTATTTAACAAAGAGTATTCAATGACATTTTGGACTCCGGACGTATAAAGATGGGAGACACATACTATAAAAACCTTCAAGTATGCTCACTATCAAACACTTGACAGTGCTAAATACATGTGCACACCACACATTTAAGATTTTAATTTGTAAACAGATTAAAAAAAATAAAAATCTATGCATGTATCATTTCTTACCCAATGGCTGCTGGAGATAAAGATTGAAGATGTTTCAGATAATGGGGTTTAGACAATGGACAATGGATCAATCCTTTATTCTACTTCAATAAAGCCCACTTAGCTTTGGAGTATTACAAAAAAAATTCTGAATAAAACACATAACTTGTGGTTTTAACAAGACAAAATGTCAAAATGTTTTCTGGTTGTAAAAACTTCTGCAAAACACAATTTGGAATGTCAACTACATAACAATGGTCACATCTCAAACTGGTGATGAGCATATGTTTTGTCACCACACTGAATTTCCCAAGGAGGACTTTGGAGGGGGGAATAAATAAATAAACATCAGATGATAGTTTTGGAATCAGAAGAAGCTTTTCAGTCACAGGGCCATGTGCGTACTTTGCATATCCGCCCATCTCACCAACAGTTCTTCAAGTGCTTGGCGCCAAGTTGTAGGGAGGCAGAGAAACTGCTATAAAGGTGGAATTAATTAGGTTTCCCACTCAATCCCCTCTCTTTATTGATACTTCGTTCCTCTCTCTTTTTCCTTTTTTGCATTTTTCCTCTGTGGATAGTCCATCTCATTCTCTCTCTCTCTCTCTCTCTCTCTCTCTCTCTCTCTCTCTCTTCTGCCCTCTCGCTCACTCACGCTTTCCGTCTTTGTGGTGCGCGTTCACAGCACCAACCTTGGCTCGACGTCAGAGGCTGTGCAGCAGTGCAGTATAATGGGAGAGCAAGCAACACAGAGAGCCTCATAGGGGGGCTGCATATCGCTGCTGTATCCTCTGCTTGGCGCTCTCCAGTAGCCTCACCTAAAGCCCGTGCCCGGGCTCCCCCTCCTCCACGCCGGATCCGTACCCTTCGACATGGATGTCCCATCATCCCTCGACCCCGAGGATTGCCGTTTCTTAGCGCAGTGAAGAGGGAGACGGACGACAGGAGTGACGGAATTATGCCGGGATCGCGAATGGATTTGGGGAAAGCGCGAGTGACCATGCCGTGATCTTGCACATCCAGGGCCGCCGATACCCCTGCCTTTGCCCAACAGCCGTAGAAGAATCACGGGGGAATCAAGCCCGCCGCGCACCGGGGAGGAATTATCCACTGTGCATTTGCTTTGAAAACATCATGAAGATTACCTCCCATCATCTGATGATAACCGGTCTCGCTATCAGGTTCAACCTCAGGCTGATCCCGCTTCTGCTGCTGTTTCTTGGATACACTCGCGGGATGCCGCACGTTCTAAGATTTGGTGAGAAAACGTACAATCTGTTACAAAGTCTACTGGCCACACTGATCGGATGTCTTGTGCGCTTGTCTGTTGCTCGTATTTTGAGTGGAAATTTGAGGATGCACTTTGTGAAATGTAACGTTTTAGTCATATGCTTTGCAACTTCACTTCACCATATAAATATTTAGAGCTTAAGAGTTTTATCACGACCTGAACTCCATCGAGAAAATGCGTGGGTCTTTCATCAAACTTGAAGCCACACTAACTCTTAAAAGACCGTACTGTAATGCTGTGCTAGTATGCAACAGTTCCTGGCTATTGACTGCAAATGAAACTCAAGCAGCACCGCTTTGGGGCTTATATTTTCTAACAGGTACCCAGCCGGGCATCCCCGCATCTCCTTGGCCCTTTAAACCCCCCACTCCACAGCATGCCCGCTGCAGTGAAGGTTTCAGATGTAAACATCACCCCCGGGGCTCTGAGAAGATACAATCTATCTGCGTCCTGTGGTGCTTTTCAGGTTTAATTCCACTAAAGCGCCTCTCATATAAAGATATTCCCGGGGTTTCTGCATGTACTCGGACAGTAATTTAAACCGACTTGGAGAATTTGCCTTCAGCTCACTTTAACTTTATAGAAACTGGCAAGCAAGTATTTAATGTTGTTGGCTGCGGTTGCCACTTTTGTATTTATCGGCTCGTAACTTCAACGTAACGCATGTGCGCGTAAAGCAGCCGAAATCAGACCTCTCCAGACTTCTTACTGGTGCCTAATTAGATCCTCATCTCTCAGGATGGAGATGGAGAGGGCTTCTTGCCTCTCCACCCAGTCGCTGTATTTACGGAAAACACATCGGAGTTGCACAGAAAGCGGATGTCATCAAGTGTTGACAACAAACTCCCTAATATTCTCATCCACTCCCCCCGTGGGGGGTCCTGCTTAAGAGTCAGGCGACGTCCACGATTGCCGCCGCTATGGCAACGGAAAGTGCTCTTCTTCCTGCTGCATTCTCTTTCCACTGAGTGGCTTCCAGTCTCACAATTTGCCTGACAGACGCCCGGCATCAACTCTGGGATTTATTTAAGATAGTTTTCAAACAGTCCGTCGACTGGAGATAAAGCGGAAAAAATGAGCCAAATCAGGAACGTTACGCTTGATTTGTTCAGTACATTGATAAAGTGTGGGGGGGAAATGGCCAAATCAAAAATGCTACGCTTAAAAGAGACGTGTAGTTACCATTCAAACCAAACCACACACAGAATTTTGCTAATACAATTGTGTAATATAATCCACAAATCCTTTTTGTGTATATTTTAATCACTATTTCTGAGTGGAAACTGTGTATTTTAGTACATAGTTAAACTAAGTGGTTAAATTCTACAAACTGTGATTAATTAATTTAATTCAATTTGTTTTTAATTATTCTATTTTGAGCCTCAAGTTAAGACATAACAGTCAATATTTGTTCATTTATATTTCATCAATCATTAGAAAGTCCAAAAAAATCCACCCTACATAGCTAATAAACACCAACACACAGTATTTAAATCTATTTAACATAACTCAACCCCAAATATATATATATATATATATATATATATATATATTTTTTTTTTTTTTTTTCTTTTTTAATATACTTTAAAAAACAAAACTCACAAAACAACAAAATAATAAAAAAAA